ATATTCCAAGTCCACGCACTTCATCTTTGAACTCATTCAAAATGCCGATGACAGCAAGTACACCAACGAGGTTCCCACTCTATACTTCAAGCTTCGAGAGGATCAATTGATCACGGAATGTAATGAAGAGGGGTTTACCGCTGAAGATGTTAAATCTATCTGCAACAGTGGAGATAGCACCAAGTCCGGAAAAATTGGATACATCGGTGAGCCCAGCCTTGTCTTTCAGATTTTCTCTCAATTAATAAATCAACCAGGGGAGAAGGGCATAGGTGTGTCCTCAATGCAGTACATGATACGATGGCTTGACAGTTCTTCAAAGGCTTCAAGTCCGTCTTCCAAGTTTCTGATGTCGTTCACATCTGCTCCCGAGAGTTTATGTTCAAATTTGACGCGACGCAAACATGCGGCATGCTCACACCGATATGGGACCCTCTTCCAGAGCATGAGCGCACAAATTTGACAAGATTCACCCTAGACCTGAAGGCGAATGTCGATCGCGATGCTCTGGCTTCTGAGCTCATGACATTGTCCCCGTCACTCCTGCTGTTCCTGCGACAGCTGCGCTCGATTACTCTCGACGTCAAGCTCAGATCAGGGAAACTCAGTCGAGTGACACTCCGTCACATAACTGGAGAGGATCGCTCGATTGTCATCCTGGAGAAGAAGACTTCCAGTATGCTGGAGACCCAGAAATATTACGTCATCAAGAAAGTAGTTCCGACACACCCAGGAGAGAAAAGGCGGGCTAATGTCAGGGAAAGCGAAATTGTGTTGGCTTTTCCAGTCGCTTCCGATCTTACGCCCAAGATCTCTTCCCAAGCAGTGCATGCCTTTTTACCCTTGAGAGACTACGGCTTTTCGGTGCGGTGCCAGCCTTCAGACGGTGGTTCGATTCTGACAATTCACCTAGTTCGTCATTCAAGCAGATTTCTTGGCCTCTGCCAATCGAGAGGATCTTTTAACCGATTTGTCGTGGAATAAGCAGTTACGTTCCGGCATCACCGCTACGTTCTCCCAGGCCGTCGAAGATTTCAAGGCTCGATCTCAGTTGCAATATACTTGGGTTCGGTTCCTCCCCTCAAGTATATTCGATCCCTTCTTCTCCGGACTCGAGACGAGCATAATCGAGGATCTCAAGCAACGCCCGATCATTCTGGATAGCAAGGGCGTTTATCACAGACCCCGCGATGTCCTCATCGCTCCCTCTCGATTCCGAGACGAACGTGGCCAACCTCTACTCGAACCAGCCTTTCTACCCACACCTTTTGTGTATCTGTCCTCATCTTACATGGAGAAAGATCATGTCCATTTACGACGATTAGGAGTCAGGTCGATAGACGAAGACTTATTCGTTCAAGGCCTTGCTCTCATGCTAGTATCCCTCGATCCTAGCTCGCGGACGGATGGGTGGCACGAGGCTGTGTGTCAAGCATTATATTCTATCAGGTCTCAGATACCTGTGAAGAAGAGACGGAGTTACGATTATGAGACCACCTGGCCGTCGCACGAAGTTCGCGCGCTTCGTCTCCTTCCCATGAAAGACGGTCGATGGGTGCCTGCAAACAGCATCACTGATGTATATTTCGATTCTGCATTGTCGAACATCCCTGCCAACCTTGGGATACATCTATTGAACCCCGGCATCGAGCCTAACACCTGGAGACATTGCCTTTACGCCGCACTGGGCGTCAAAGTCGCAAACGAGGAAAATATCGCCGCACAGATATTAAAACGGCACTCTACCGGCGAACCGAACCTCATTAGAATGGATGACATGATCAGCGATGCCCTGTGGTTCTTTGAATCGCAGTATTGCCCATCATCCACTGGTATAAAACTGCGCGTAGTCACGGACTCCCTAGAAAGCGCGTGGGCGAATACCGTCTATGTCGATTATCAAGACTCGTCTTATTCCATCAAATTGCATGGAATTCTCAAAGCCCCATTCTTACACTCTGCCTACTTTCGTAAATGTCAGACCCCCGAACAACTCGCTAAATTCGTCGAATGGCTACGCCTTAGACTCGGGCTCCACATCTGCCCAAGACTCATCGATGGCCAACTATCCCCTGAATTCAAAGCACTTTGCTTGTCCCTTAACATGCAGGATCTTCTCTGTGTCATTCAGCAATCTTGGACCTCGTGGTCAAACAGCGATCTGGGACCTTCTGCCATTGCATATCTTGGGAACCTTACAACAACATGCCAAGATGGGAAGTCATACTGCATCAAAGATACATATCTAGGCACCACGCATCTAAAACAATTTGATGGCTTACCATTCCTTTCCGTCAAAGATGCCGAGAATCCGGAATGGATGTTTCTCGAGCGTCTGGGTGTCTCTACAAAACTTGATGGGGCTCTTTATCTTAGGCTCCTCCGCCGCTTGAAAGATCAGGGAAGCCACGATGAAGAACAAATTCAGAGTCTGTATCAAAGTCTACAGAATCATTTTGTCGACGCGCCAGAAGCAATCAAGTGTGTTACGCCTCTACCGAATATGTCCACGTCAGCTAATCTGATCTGGTTTAGACAAGCCTTCGCAAGCGAGCCACTCGTTTATTTGAAGAACAAACATTCTTGGGTAACAACGTGCAAGGTTGTTTGGAAAGGAGCACGTTCGATGACGTCCAAAGTTGCGCTGGAGAAAATGTATCAGGGGCTTTCGAAGCTTATGCGAGATCTTTTAAATATCCAAGATTGCGGCCCGGATCTCCTCGTCGAAGAGCTTCGGCTCATATCCGAAACCTGGAGGAATCAGCAAATTCCCAAAGAGCAGTCGCAGGCGATATCTGACAAGCTCATTGATCTATGCGACTTCCTCGACGGTCAAGAGTATAGCGGTGATGCCGCCATTGCCTGGCTCCAACGTTTAGCATCCTTGCCTATATTCCCAGTGGATTCCCCATCTCACGGAATGACTTTACGTGCCATTGGTGAAAAAATTTATGTCGCCGATCCGACAGGGCATCTTTCTTCCATTTTCCGATCCAAAGTGGAGATTTTGTCTTTCAACAATACGACGATCCTGCACATTCAACGTTTGCTAAAATCTCCAGTGTTCAAGTCTCACGTTCGAACGCTGGAGGACTCTGTTGTTCGCACGTCCGTTCCGGCGGGTCGCGCAACCACCGAAGCCGCGGAAGCCCGAAAAATCCAATATCGTGCCAATTTTGTCAAGAGGTCCGTCACGCCTGTTTCTTAACCTCGTGGCAACCACTCATGAATATCACCAGTTACATTCAGGGGACCTTCCCGAATAAATGCAATTATGAAGTGCTCCAACTCCTCGACAATCTACAGAATGTATCAATTCAACTCGTCCCGGACATCCAATCAACGTATACACTACAGGACATCACTCAAGTCACTACTGACGAGATTGTACTGGTGCGCAAGGATACTGAATTGACAATATTCACTTCTCTTGCGCCTTCTACACGAAGGAATCTCAAAATCTCGAATGAGTTTGCCAATCTTTTACCCATTGAAACACATATGTTCCATGTATGCATCTACCAAGATCTAGAGCTGGTCGAGGGATTGTTCAACATGAAAGGAATCGATGTTCCCGCCCTCCAAAATGTTGATCAACATATAGAAGCAATGCTCGTGCATGAAGATCGACATATAGAGGCAATGCTTGTGGATGAAGCACTGCTTCACACCCAGCACTACTCGCCATCGCGTGAAGCGCCTCGGCTTTACGCGCCTCGTCATACACAGGCTCTGGTTGTCACAGATAACGATCGGGACGAGTGCAACGATCGGAACAATGATGCCAAGTACCTCAGCGAAGTGGAGCGTGCGGCGCAAAACGTCACAACTTTGGGTTCAGTCATTCGTTCACGACTCGCTGTGCCTCAAGCCCACGATCCTTCATCGGGTTCTCAGAGAGGCCCCTCTTCTAGAACTGATCGGAGTGCTCCCTCGAACACACAGCTGCTTGAGTTGACTCATGCGGCCAGCGGCTTCCAAGATAGTGCGGCATTTTCACCCGATCTCGACATCGCTACGATCAGCGGAATTTGCGGAGAATATTTCGTGAGCGATTCTTGAGCTTTCCATGACCTTATATTGACCATATTCACAGATCTACAAAGTGTTCTCAAACGTATTGCCCGGGTTTGACGCTTCTCATTGGACCAGCGATATCAAGGGGAGAATTCCTGGCATGGCCCCTCACGGCACACCCGCACCAGCTGATTTCGAATATCGGGACGCGCGCGGTGTTTTGACTCGCCATATCTATGGCCAAGAAGTGATGGATGCATGGAAAGATGGATGGCCTACATACTACATGGAAGTCAAAGCCACAACCCAAGATCTTCAAGAAAAGCTCAGCATGTCGAAAAGTCAGGTTCAGTTTGTACGTTCTCAATCGTCGCTCCATCCATCCCATTTGCTAAGCGTCCTTTTCCAGGCATCTCAGTGCTCCCTGTCGAGAGCGAGCGATCCTCCAGGAGCAGTATACATACTTATCAGGGTCTGGAAGGTCCTCAGGGATCCGCAATGGAAGTTATACGTCGATCCTCATACACTTTTGTACACGGGAGAGTTGGAGATTGTGTCTCCAAACCTTGAGCTCAAGCCTGTATCCGCGCTTTGAACCTGTTTTCATGATAATATTCTCGATATCGTACCTGATGTGTTCCTGAGACTAATATATATATCGCTCTCGATGACTTTTCATATGTCGAAAGGCATCTGCATTCGCTTGGGGAAAGCCACTGCTGAGTCAAGTCGTTCCTATCAAATAGACCGCATAGTTTGAAAGCTATCCACGCGGCTCGTCGATGACGGACTGCCTTGGTCGTTATCGACACTTGATGAATCTCTTGAGGCGTCTTGCAACGTTTGCTCCTCCCGCTAGGCCCTTTGAAAAAGCACCTAGGGCGTCTAGAAAAATCGGTAAAATTCAAATCTTGGACTTACGACATTCTACGAGTTTCCAAAAAATTGCAGGAGCATAAAACGAAAATCAAAAAGGTAATTCTAGCCCACCGCGAGGGTCGAACTCGCAGCCTTCAGATGCCGAATCGGAATTCGGATAACTCCTAAGAGTCTGACGCTCTATCCGATTGAGCTAGGCGGGCTGCCTTGAAAGAAGAGGTAAACGACAGACAATGACTAGTTGCAGTGTACTCAAGCCATATGAGGTAGGTCTTCCCCGATTGAACGGACACTGCCGAGACTTTGTTTCGAGGGAATTCGTTTGTGAACCAGACCTCGCCTCGAGTCTGCGAGTTCAACCCTCGGGGTGGGCGAAGGCTGAAAGAGCCTTTGTAATTCTAATTTTCGTATCAGTCAAGACTGCCCATGACACAGATATCCAAAGACAGCGTCTGTGGGTCGTAGCGGTCCAATGCAGCCGCGAGGCTCAGGCGCACTACTCAATGGACTTTGTTAGCAGGAGTATGTTAGCAGCGCCAGGCTGACTATGTGAAGCGGTTTTCTCTTCCGAGCAGCATGACTACCTTCAAATGTCTATGTAACAGCATCTGCATCCCGCAAGATTGACTGCGTATGGCAGGTTCAAGAATCACGATATATTGGGGGAGGCAAGATCACCGATCTGATCTCAAGAGATAAAGAAGGGTATCAATGTAAGCAAGACAGGGAAGTTGTCCAGATGGCGAGGTAAGTAGGGTCAGGAATTGATGGGAGTCGAAGGACATAGATTCGACGACAATATTGAGTGTATGTCAGAACAAGAAGTGCAAGGGAGGTGCAGCGACTGAGATCGAACACGTCCGTCAAAACGAAGGCGGATATAGAAGTAAGAGGGTTCGAGGGTTCGGAAGACCTCCAGAAGAGGGGAGCGTTCGTTTTCGAGGGAGGAGGGAGAAGGATGTGAATATAGATGCGAAACATTCATCAAAGCCATGTAATAGGATGAGATATTTGGACATCCCAAGTCCCTTGGTGTTATGAGACAGGCGAGGAATAAACTGGGTGTGTGGCATCAAATGCCAGGCGAATGACTCGATGATACATTGGCGTAGCTTTGGCAATCAAAAAAGAAGCAGAGGTTCTCGTTCGTTCTCTCGTTCGTATTCGTACTGGGACGGGTCATTACTGAGGAGCAGATGAGAGGAGACAAAACCAGGAGGCTGGAGCTGTGATCCTAGATGTTGTCATTTGAACCCGGGAGTGCAAAGGGCATGGTGCCAGTGGATGGATTGTCAGGCGTCAGGAGTCCGGAGGTGAGAGAATAGTGCAGACGATGTTGTGACGCACTGCACTACTGGATAATCGAGACCCGTGGTAAGAGCTCGCCAACGGATTCGAGGAAAAGAAGGTCGTATGTGAGACGATGGTGGCAACTGTCAAGAGAGTCGAGTTTCATCAGCTGTCCGACTTTTCAGGGAGGTAGGTAGGGCTTGAAGCTTGATGTCGTTCGCTCTGCGTCGTTCATTCTAGATCTTCCAATCAACATGTCTACGCTCAGCTTGAGCTAAGCAGGCTGCCTTGAAAGCATAGGATATGAGGGAGGTCACACCGACTGAAAGGCAGATGCCAGGATGTTCCTCCGAAGGAATCCGGATGTACACCAAGGCCCTGAATTTCGCCAGTTTAACCCTCGGGGGCGCAGGCTAGAACAATATTTATAATCGAATTCTCTTTTACGCGTTTTTGCATATACTGTATAAGCCTGTTAGGAGTGCAAAGTTACTCGCCTATCTAGATTTAGGAATATCCAAAGAACGGCGTTGATTGTTCCCCGAGGGTCCATCCAGTACAACGGCGAGGCTCACGCTCAGAAACGACAGTTTAGAGAATCATCAGTGCGCAAGTGCTATATCAAGTTCAACCTTGCATTATTCACAATCTGTGAGCCTTTGACCCGCGGAGTCGTTGATTTGACAAGGAAACCAGATACACAAACAAGTTACAGCATGCGGGAAATGTCTCCGATCCTCTCTATGCAGTCAATTGCCGTAAGTACGACAGAGTTGAACAGACCAAGTTCATCATCTGTAGGCAAACGCTCAACTCTGCAAACACTGACGAGGCGGGAAGAAAGAGTCAGCTCCAACAGACTGCAGTTGTACCGGAAGGGGCCTGAATCACTGAAAAGTAATCCAAACGCAACGCAAAGAAGTCGACGGAGCCATAAGTAGCTGACTATCGCGGTGGAGAGGGGACGGTACATTGCTTAAGAACCTAAATTCCAGCCTTGGATATTGAGGCATATCAGTATATTCTGAAGATGAGGGGGATCCAGCGAGGCCGAATAAGATACGGAGAACCAGAAAGTCGCTCTTATTAGGACAGCGGCACTAGCAGAACCGATATTTTCCGAATCACTCTCGACATCAAGGAAGGAAAAAAGACGAGAAAGGTAGCAATACAGTCTGAGATCTGAGGGTCTTCAGACGCAGCCGCGTAAGGCAGGCGTGAGGTTTGCGATATAGAGTAGGACGAAAAGTGCGAGGTTTAGTGCAGGAGAGTCGCCCGGGAGAACCATCGATCGCCAAAGAATGTCCAGCATCGAAAGAAAAGGCTGCGAAGGAAGAATGAGATCTGACGAGAGGATACTACTATACGTACCTAGCGTGTGGCATCATACGTCGAGGCGAATGCAACGGCGTAGCTTTGGAAGTTCATCAGGCAGAGGTTCTCGTTCGCTCCGTTTCTTCCGGGAATGGGTGTTGACTAGAAAGAGAATCGGAAGAAAGGAATCCTCGGCACCAGAGTCTTCATCGTAGACGTTATCCGGTGGCGCAAAGGGCGAACACGACAATAGGAAATTACTCAAAGATCGTGGTGGCAAGAGACTGGAGTTTCATCCGCTTTCCGACTTTTCAGAGCTTGATGTCGTACGCCCTGCGTCGCTCATTCTTCCAGTCAACATGCTTACGATCAGCTTCTCGTCGTGAGCTATCAAATCAGACCCCACGATGGTCTCGAGACGCGAAGTCTCTCCCGCCCACCGTTAGTTCACCCCAATCGCTCAGCTCAGCATCCATCCTGACTTGTCCTAGTTCTTCACCTCCAAACCACCTCCTCATAGACCCTCAATCCGAGCCTACTCATCGTCTCACTACACGCCCTCTGGTGTACGTGATCGAGCAGCAGTAGGCGTCTTCACGCCCCAAGCAGCAGCTATCTTCGTCCTCACCGGCGTCGGTCTCTTCTACTACTTCAAATCCGAGAAAGAACGAATACAAGAAGCCAAACGACAAGCTCTCGCTTCAAAGAAGATTGGACGAGCAGCAGTTGGCGGACCCTTCTCGCTCGTTACTCATGATGGCAAACCGTTCACGGAGAAGGATATGCTTGGGAAATGGAGCGTGATGTATTTTGGTTTCACGAATTGTCCGGATATTTGTCCTGCGGAACTGGATAAGATGGGTGCGGTTGTGGATGAGGTTGCGAAGAGACATGGGAAGGACGTCGAGCTGCTCCCTATCTTCGTGAGCGTGGATCCAGCACGAGACGACGTCCAAGCAATGAAGAAATATGTCGCCGGTACGCTTCACTCTCCCAGCCCAGAATTCACCCTGAACTTTGCCAGACTTCCACCCCTCCGTGATCGGCTTGACAGGATCCTACCCCGAAGTCAAAGCGACCTGCAAAGCCTATCGCGTCTACTTCTCCTCACCCCCTCCACCAGAAGGCAAACCCTCCCTCGAACAAATGGACTACCTCGTCGACCACTCAATATACTTCTACCTCATGGACCCACGCGGTGAATTCGTTGAAGCGTTCGGAAAAGACAGTTCGGTGGAAAAAGTGGCAGATCGATTAGACGAGGAACTGGCGAGATGGAAGGGGTATGATGTGGATAAGGGAGAGGGACCGGAGAGGTTGGTTGTTAGGGAGTATCAGAAGGCCAGTTGAGAATGTCAAGGAATGAATATTGATCACCACTCAGTTGAATGAACGCTTCGTGTTGGGTCTACGATACAGGCTCTATTCTGACTCTTCCTCTGCTTTCTTGAGCCGCAGTTTTGAGAGCTCCTTCATCCGTCGGACGTAACTAGGCAGCGTTAACATCTCTGCGGTATTAATGAGGAAAACTCACTCGTCATATTGACACCTGAATCGAGTTATAGCATCAGCATCGGCAAATTAGCAGATTAAATCACATACTTCTCATACGCATGTCTACCCAAAATCAGCACAAATCCAAACACCACAAATACTAAACCCACCTCTCATGGTCACACTCCCAAGGCAAATAATATTTATCCCGTCTGCAAACGTTCAGCGGTATCAACAGCCTATAACACCCTTCAGCACCCAACGCAATCCACGATCCCCAATCAAACTCACGCCGAACATCCATCTCTCCACGCAATAGGCACCTTATACTTTTTCAATTCCTCCTGCGAAGCAGTAGTCGACGACGCCATCTCAAGCCAGCAAAGGAGAGCGTGCGATCGGAGTTCCAATTCCCAATCCAATCCGTCCGCCCTCAACGACGCGAAGCGCCCACAGACGCGTCACCTTCGCGCTCTCGAACTTAACCCAAACCCATATCCAGATCACCCGCGAAGAGATTGAGCCATGCCGTTGGAAGCGACGATTATGATCATTGATAATTCGGAGTATATGAGGAATGGGGATTATCCGCCGACGAGATTCGATTCTCAGTCTGATGCGGTGAATACTGTCTTCAGGACGAAGATTGATAGTAATCCGGAGAACACGGTGGGGGTTATGACTATGGCTGGAAAAGGGTGCGTTCCTCTACATCTGATTCACTCTTTATGGAATCTGATTATGAATGTGTAGACCAGAAGTACTCGTCACGCATGCGAAAGAAATCGGAAAGGTCCTGACAGCGCTGCACAAAACCGCCGCTGGACTAGGTGGCACAGCAGACATCCCAACCGCCATCTCCGTCGCCCAACTCGCCCTCAAACACCGCCAAAACAAAAACCTCCGCCAGCGAATAGTCCTCTTCGTAGGCTCCCCTCTCCCCCCCTCATCCGACGAACGCACTCTCGTTCGTCTCGCCAAGAAATTGAAAAAGAATAACGTAGCAGTGGACATTGTATCATTCGGCGAAGACGAAGGACGAGAAGCGAACGAACCCATCCTCAGAGCTTTTGTGGAGAATGTCAATTCGGCGGATAACTCCCAT